GTAGTCTAGGAGTTCAGAGTAGAATGAAAGGATTCCATCAGTGACAGAATGCATCCCAAATCTGGGGGGTTTCTTGTTGTATGTATCAGGTTTGGATAGGTTGAAGGGAGAAGAAACCAAGCTTAATAGAGGACAAAATATGTTCCAAGCCTTAAGGTAAAGCTTGAAGGCATAGGAGACAGTGAGGGTACCAGCCTATTAGTAATAAAGGATTTGTTTTAGGCAGTGAGTATTAGGTGGATAAACTGGAACTGTGTTGTAGGAAAGGATGAATATTAGACTGTGGGATATTGATTTTCTTCTATGGGCAAAAGTGTATTCACATATTTCCATGCAATGTTAACAGAAGTTAAGCCAAAAAGAAAAAGAAAAAAGACATTGAAGTTTGAGAAACACTGATTTAAACAGATTTGGTTATTAACATACTTCTTTGAATGTTTAAAGTGTGCTTTTGTGAATTTACAAAATTGCTTAATTAAACTCAGCACATTTTTGCATATAAAGAAACAGTGTTTCTGGAAATGTACTTTGGAAAGCTGGGATATGTGGGCATTGCTATATAGTATTTATTGTATGACTATACACAAATTTACCAATTCTACTATTGATGGGTATTTGATTGATTCTGGTGTTTAGCAATCATGAATAATGCTGCCATGAATATTTTTGCTAGTGTGTTTTGGTGCATATATGTATGATTTATGATGGGCATAAACCTGGGAGTAAAATTGCTGGGTAATTCATTATATTTAAGTTAAAATTTAATACAGATTGCCAAACCGTTTTACAAAGTGGTTGAACAAGTATATATTCCCACCAGCAATGTACATGTGTTAACTTCCTCCACACGTTCAGTAGCATTTGCCATTGTCAGTCTTTTTCATTTGGCCATTCTTTTCGGTATGTTGTGATATCTTATTGTGGCTTTAATTCTTCCTGTTATTGTTTTCTAGTTTTATACTGGTTGTCATCAGAAAAGATACTTTTTTGGTGGGGGGGATGGTTAGGATTAGCGTTAGTGGGCATTGGGGAAATACTGACTGGAATCTTACACTAGCATGAAATGTTTGTGAAAGCTGGGGCTTTTTTGATATTGTTCACAGTTCTTCCACCTGCACCAAGATGATAACCTAGTAAAGCTATGTTCTCAGTATATATTTATTGAGCGAATTGTTGGTTATAGTGGATAAAGGAAGAATGAGATCAGGATGAAATCAACTTTCTTAGCAAGATTAATCTTATTATATGGTACATGATAGACTGTAGGGGAAAGAGGCTAGAAGCTGAAATCCCAGAAAAGAAGCTATTAGAGTTGTCTGGACCTAAGATTTATTCTTGAATTCTGCTGACATCCTTGCAAATGGAAAATAAAATGGATGTCAGTGGTATTTTATGAAGAGAATTGACAAGATTTGGTGGTAGATTAGATGAGGAGGGCAGGAAGTTTTCAAGGTACTGAAAGTTTGGATGGCTCTGAGGAAGATGGAATGACCATAGGGAAGGATGAATTTCCATATATGAGACTTCATTCTGTTTCTTTCATGTAGCCTAATTATCTGATGAATGGAGTCATGAAGGAAATATCTAATTCTGTGAAGCCATACCTTGTGTTTGAGAACTTCTTGTACAGAAAAAGACCACCAGTTTTCAAACAAGAAAGCTAGTGTCGAGAGAAAGTTTGAATGAAAATTTTTTTTTTTTTAATTTTTATTTTGTCAATATACAATGTATATGATTTTTATGGCCCTTCACCGACACCTCCCGCCCTCCTCCCTCTCTCCCCTCCCCCCCCAAGAATGTCCTTTCCGTTTACTTGTTGTAACAACTTCAAAAAAAGTATAGTTGTTATATCTTCTTCCCCGCCCCCCCCCGGTTTTTTTTTTGTGTGTGTGTGTTTGTGGGTGAATTAATTTGATTGTTTTTTTAGCTCCCTCCGATGAGTGAGAACATGTGGTATTTCTTTTTCTCTGCCTGACTCGTTTCACTCAATATTATTCTCTCAAGGTCCATCCATGTTGTTGCAAATGGCAGTATTTCATTCGTTTTTATAGCTGAGTAGTATTCCATTGTGTAGATATACCACAATTTCCGTATCCACTCATCCGATGATGGACATTTGGGCTGATTCCAACTCTTGGCTATTGTAAAGAGTGCTGCAATGAACATTGGGGAACAGGTATACCTTCGACTTGATGATTTCCATTCCTTTGGATATATTCCCAGCAGTGAAATAGCTGGGTCATATGGTAGATCAATCTGCAACTGTTTGAGGAACCTCCAAACCATTTTCCATAGGGGTTGCACCATTATGCATTCCCACCAACAATGTAAGAGAGTTCCTTTTTCTCCGCAACCACGCCAGCATTTATCGTTCAGCGTCTTTTGGATTTTAGACATCCTAACTGGGGTGAGATGGTATCTCAGTGTGGTTTTGATTTGCATTTCCCGGATGCTGAGTGATGTTGAGCATTTTTTCATATGACTGTTGGCCATTTGCATATCTTCTTTAGAGAAATGCTTACTTAGCTCTTTTGCCCATTTTTTAATTGGGTTGCTTGTTTTTTCCTTGTAAAGTTGTTTGAGTTCCTTATATATTCTGGATATTAGTCCTTTGTCAGATATGTATTTTGCAAATATTTTCTCCCACTCTGTTGGCTGTCTTTTAGCTCTGTTAATTGTTTCTTTTGCTGTGCAGAAACTTTTCAGTTTGATATAGTCCCATTTGTTTATTTTTCCTTTGGTTGCCCATGCTTTTGGGGTCATATTCATGAAGTCTGTGCCCAGCCCTATTTGCTGAAGGGTTTCTCCTATATTTTCTTTAATAAGTTTTATTGTTTCAGGGTGTATATTTAAATCCTTAATCCATTTTGAGTTGATTTTAGTAAATGGTGAGAGATGTGGGTCTAGTTTCAATCTCCTGCAAATGGATAACCAGTTATCCCAGCACCCTTTGCTGAAGAGGGAGTCCCGACCCCAGTGAATAGACTTAATGCCTTTGTCGAAGATCAAATGGCAGTAAGTGCGTGGGTTAATTTC